AGAATACATGAGGACCATGAGCATATATGGTACACTATGGAGGCTTTTTTTTTAGATTTTGATTGAGTCAAGTTGAAAATACTTTTTCACATTAATAGGTCACTGTGAGTGTTAAAATATCTCAGTAATAATTCACACAGACAAGATTTCTATACTCAAGGAGATGGGATATACAGTGCCAGCATACCAAGGGTTGGGATCATTGGGAACCATCTTGGAAGCTGCCCAGCACAGAATATAGAAAGATGAGACAACTAAATGCAGTGTGTGATCTTGGGTTGAATTTTGGATTGGGATGAAAAGTGCTGTAAAGTAGAATTGAGACAATTGATGAAATGTGAGTATGGGCTGTACATTAGACAATATTACATCAATGATAGCTTTTCTACAAAAGTTTTGATTATTCTACAGTGGTATGTAAGACAATGCATTTGGAAATAAATACTTAAGTATTTATTTGAATGAAAGCTAAGAAAATTCCATGCAAGTTTTTTTTCTGAATTTGAGAGTACTTCAAAATTTTAAGTTTAAAAATGCCAAAAGTGTTTTTCACCTTAAAAAATATATATATGTATGTCGCTTTTGAGTTCACACACACTGAATGCATCATGTGTATAGTATGGTGTTTAATCCTTCTTAATATACTGTTGGATTTTGTTGGCTAGTATTTTTGTTGAGGATGTTTGTACCTACCTTCACAAGGAATATTTTTCTATAGTTTTCTTTCCTGTTATCTTTGTTTGGCTTTGACTTCAGGGTGATGCTGGCCTCATACAACAAGTTAGGAAGGGTTCTCTTCTCTTCTATTTTCTGGAGGGATTTGAAAAGAATTAGTGTTAATTCTTTTTAAATGTTTGATAGAATTCATCAAGCTATCTGGTGCTAGACTTTTCTTTGTTGGGAGATTTTTGGTTACTGATTGAATCTCTTGTTAAAAGTCTGTTCAGATTTTATTTCTTCTTGAGCCCATTTTTGGAGATTACTGTGTTTCTAGGAATTTGTCCATTTTTATTTCTTTGCAGTTTATGTTGAACAAGAATGCATTTTTACATCGTATAAATACATATGATTCAGTTATATTTAAACTATACAAAAAAATCTGCCATAAAACTGCCTTCCCTTGCCTTACATATCTGACCTAAAATACATTTATCGTCCTGATATTTTGAGCATTCCAGTTGCTTTACATCCTTATCAGTACTTGCTATTTTCCATCTTTTGCATTTTAGCCATTTTGGTAGGGATGTTCCAAGTGTTTTTGCTTGGTTTTTAATTTTGCAAGTTTTATACTGTCATCTACAAGAACATTACTATCAATAATACATCTGAAGTCAAACATTTTAATTATTTTGTGTATTTGTAAATTGTTTTAAAATCAAGTTCATGATAAAGTCTCAGAGGTTTTTTTCTTTCTTTTTCCTATTTAAAATGTGCCTCGAGGGCAGCCCAGGTGGCTCAGCGGTTTTAGCACCACCTTCGGTCCAGGTCATGATCCTGGAGACCCGGGATTGAGTCCCATGTCGGGCTTCCTGCATGAGGCCTGCTTCTCCCTCTGCCTGTGTCTCTGCCTCTCTCTGTGTGTGTCTCTCATGAATAAATAAAATCAATCAATCAATCAATCAATCAATAAATAAATAAATAATAAAATGTGCCTCGAGTCAGGTTGAATAGAGTCAGTACTTTCTCCTTTTTGTCGCTGTTAACACTTCCAGATCTGGTAATGAGCTTGCTTCATTATTCTTTCTTTTTCTTCAAAGCTTACAATGATTCTTTTTTTTTTTAAGATTTATTTATTTATTTATTTATTAGAGAGAGAGTGTAGGATGGGAGTAAGGAGGGAGAAGGATAGAAAGAATCTAACAGAGTGCAGAGCCCAGTGTGGGGTTTGATCTCTCCATCCTGCAATCATGACCCGAGTCAAAATCAAGAGTCAGATAGATGCTCAACTGACTGAGCCACCCAGGTGCCCCAAAGTTTATAATGATTCTTAAGTTCAACTTGTGCTGACTTAGTTAAAATATTATAACTGCTGGTAATTTGAAAAATGTTATAATCAGGAACATCCTTTCTGAAAAATACACTGAAAATTTGTGACTAAACTTAGTTGTAAGAATCAGAACTTTGCCATAGAGGAGAAACTTCTCACATTTTGATAGTTGCTTCATAAATCTGTAAAGTTACTCTTTAGCCTCTCCATCACTCAGTGACCATCATTTATCAGAAGATCCAATGAGATATCCATGAACAAAACACATGTTCCTGGCCAATTTATGTATTATTCTCACATGATACTCTCAATTGGGTGCATTATTTATTGCACTGTTCATTCCATGTTGAGAATATGTGCAACATACTTGATGTGGTCTGTTTCTTTCTTGACTTTTTTTATGCTGGTGGCAAGCCACCAAATTAACTTTATGACCCTCTAATTGGTCACAACCCTCAGCTTGAAAACCACTGACTGTACTATTATTATCATAACAGTACAAATCTCAAAGCCCTGGCCTTCCAGAGATGGAGTAGATGCATGAAACACAGACTTTTTGTTTGGAAGGAGGAAAAGAAGGTTGGAGGCTAGAAAAGACTGTCCAGCTACAGGAACTGCTTTCTACTTACTTAGTTATCCCAAGCATCTGGTGTTATTTGACATATGTGGAGTTGTTTGCCTTTATTCTAATGGCTCCCAACTATTACTTTTAGTTTTTCCTATTTTTTCATAGTTTTGTCTCTTTCCTCAGATATTTTTCTTGTTGCTATCATTGTGTTTGCCACTACATTGTCCACCATCTCCTACCCTCTCATTTTTTTTTTAATAATTTTTTTTTTTTATGATAGTCACAGAGAGAGAGAGAGGCAGAGACACAGGCAGAGGGAGAAGCAGGCTCCATGCACCGGGAGCCCGACGTGGGATTCGATCCCAGATCTCCAGGATCGCGCCCTGGGCCAAAGGCAGGCGCCAAACCGCTGCGCCACCCAGGGATCCCCTACCCTCTCATTTTTGCAAGCCCCCTTTTCATTTTGCTGCTTCTCATCTACTTACACCAAGAAAAGACCATCTAGCTTCTTAAGTGGTGTAGATCAAAAGTAATTAGGTTCTTGGGGCACCTGGGTGGTGCAGCCAGCCAGTTGAGCAACTGACTTCTGGTTTTGGATCAAGTCTGATATCAGGGTTGTGAAATTAATCCCCCAGTCAGGCTTCGTGCTCAGCACAGTCTCCTTGGGTTTCTCTCTCTCTCTCTGTTCCCCCACTCCCAGTAATAAGTTTTTTTTTTTAAGTAATTAGGTTCTCAGCAAGGTCTTAATTAGGTTTTTATGATCCATTTCATGATTATGTTTGCTTAGTAGGAGTTTTAAAATTATGTCTGTGGTTTTTAGCTGTGGCCTAGATAACTAGTCAGGTTGTCTCTGAAATATAAAAGTACTCCTGTACCCTTCAGTCTTTCAGAACAAAAATTTCTACTATTATTAAAAGATAATAACATAATCACAGTACCTGGGGACTCTATTTACTATATGGTCTTCCTGAGAACCTCAGGTTGTCAAACTTAACCTTGTTTTCTTGAGACAAATGGAGAAAGATGCTAACCCATATTTTCACATCTGAGAAAAACAATCACAAGATCTTTAATTTTAGAATTATGAATAAATCAAGCATATTATGAGGTACTCATCATGGTAATCTTGCTTCAGTTAGCCAACAAATATTTACTTCCAAATACTGTGTTATATAAATTCTAAGATTCACATTTTCTTACATTTTAACATCTCTGAAATCAGAATGCTTCTTAACAATTAATGGTATCCTACAGTTGCTGTTGGCCCCCATGGCAAATAATGGTATAGATTCTGTGTGGACTTGATTGTTAATCTTGGAGTCATGACTGAACTGCAAACTCTTCATTATTTTAGTCAACAGACTATTGAACAATAAAACATTTAAGGACCTTTAAGGAGTTTTATTGCTGTCTAAAATCTCCTATTGGTACTTTTTCTGTTAAGATTAAGATAGAACTACTATCAAAGCTTACAGAATGAGCATTGGAACCTTTAAAGATAATCTCAGATACCATAGAACATTACTCTTTTAGGAAATGCTGCAAACCTGCAATCTTCAGAGTATAAAGGACAACACTTGGACATTTAAGACTGAGTAAAAAAAAAAAGATCAGAAAAGTTGAATGCTGAATGTGAAGAAATTTTATGAATACCTTAACCAGTTTAGATTGCTTATATTTTCCTTTTAATCTCTGATAGATGATTTAAGAACATTCTAAATAAGTCTAAAAGAATTCTTTCAATATTTAAAAAATAAAAATTTCAAGTAATAAAGCATTGTGTCATGATTTAATAGGTACATAAAATAATAATGCATCTTAGTAGCAATGATATCTTCAGTGTGATGAAACAGGAGACTTTGATTTACTATTAGACTTATTGTGTATTAGTGTACTGTTTTCTACTATAATTTACATTTTTCTTCTCTTAAGAAGAACTAAGGAATAATATACACATGTAAGTCAGGAAAACACTACCAGACACTGTGTGAATGATGGAGACCAGTATGTCTCAAAGTGTGCTCCTGGAACCGGCAGCAACAGCATCACCTGGGAGCTTATTAGAATGCAAATTCTCAGGCCCCATCCTAGACCTGTTGAGTCAGAAACTCTAGATATGGAGTCCAGCAGGCTGTATTTTAACAAGCCCTGCCAGTGATTTTGAGGGCAAGCTAGGGTTTGGGAACCAATGGCCTGGTGGAATTCTGGGAAAACAAAAATTACTGGTGCTATTCTATCAAAGCTAGGTGTATGAGTGATTTAGGGAGTAAGAAGACAGCTTCCTTAAGTTCAGCTCAATTACATACTAACAGTATATTTAAGAAAAATGAAAAAGTTTACTATGTTGTGTCTCTGCCAGCTACCAGTAATATAGGTGCATAATGGAATAGCCCAAAAACTGCGTGTCCTTCACCTTTGGTCGATATTTGATCTTTGTCTTTTTAGCACGACGTATCTCAGACTTTACTCAAGGCAACACTGGACAGTGTTGTAGAGGAATGTGTCAGCTTTGTGGGAGTGGATATTAACATCTGTTCGGAAGTTTTGTTAAGGTGAGACAAGAGTTCTGTGGCTGCAGATCACAGAATCTTAAGTTTAACTGACTCTTCAGTTCAAATTTAGCTAAAATAAGGAGACACATGTATAAAGTTGTCAAGTATAGAAAATCTATGAGTTCATACATTGCTTTACCTAATCAGTTTGAGGGGAAGACATAATTTAAGAAAAGAATTGTAACAATTCACATTATCATTTTTAATACTGCAAATCTAAAGTGAAGAGCATATGGTAACCATTGAGTGCATTAGTGTTGCTAATAGAATTTAAATAAGGTTAACATGGAAAAGAGCTGTTTCCCACCACATGAGAGTAGGTATTTTTCACTGGTTCAGTCTTGTGGATACATCTGTCAAAGCTGGCAGTAACCAAAAGATAAATTCTGAGGGTTCAAGGTATGGTTACCATATTTTTACCTGGATTCTACAAGTCACATGTCAAAACCCTTATCTTACTATAATCACATCATACATACTCTGTCCTGTTTTACTGGGGTTTTAGAAGAGATGATTTTTTTCACTCATAATTTTGCACTTACTACACAATTCTGCTGATGCAGCATGAAATTCTGGACCTCTGTGAAAGATCTGTACTCTTTTGCTTTGAGACTAGTATCGCAGAAAATATCACTTATGTTTATTTTAAGGTGTTGCTTCTCTATCACAGCTACAAATATTCCATAATTTCACGTATGGAATTCAATGACAGAGTTAAGAATCTCTTAAATTTTAACTTTTTAAATAATACCAAGCAAACTATCTAATACTATAGTTTTTATATTTTATGCTAACCATGACATTCATGGTTCACCTCTTTTCTGTCATCTGAGTCTTTAATGAGAGCAAGCTAATAAAAGGGGGGAGAAGTAATACAATACAACTGTAGCTATTGTAACTCTTGCTGCTAACTCAGTTTGTAAACTACTACACAGGAATAAGCAGAACTATTACTTGATTCAGAAATACAAGGAATGTGAATAGTATAGAGTGTGGGGAACAGTTCTTTTTCTTATACTAGTGTTAACCAGTTTACCAGCATCCTTAGTACTACTACTGGTTTTATCACTATTCTGCATTCTCTTGTCCTTGTCTCCTCTTGGACTACTCTATCCCCCTTTGTCTTTTTTAACTCCCTTTTGGATTAACAACTTAGAGCCATATGACAGTATGTAATTGCAGTTGTTTTTATGATGCAGATGTTTTATGTCATTGACTTTTCTGATGAGGTCTTTTCTTTGAATACTCTTAGGACTATTGTGTCTGCCGCAGTACTCCTTTTGTTTATTTTTTCTAGGCATATTGCAGGACTCAATGCCAACCGAGCCAAAAATATTATTGAATGGCGAGAGAAAAATGGGCCCTTCATCAACCGAGAACAGCTAAAGAAAGTGAAAGGTCTTGGTCCAAAGTCTTTCCAACAGTGTGCTGGCTTCATCAGAATCAACCAGGATTATATTCGAACATTTTGCAGGTAATTAGTAAAGTGTGTGCTCTGGGTTCTTTATCAGCGTCCTCCTTTATTGTTGCTCCTCCTGCTCACTGGCTTCAAACCTAGGTGGCCATTTGTTCATTCCTTCAACATGTGTTGACTCTGCGATCTTTGCTAGGCACTGGAATCCAGTAGTGAACAAATCAACAGATTCCCTGCTCTCACGAAGTTACATTTTAATAGGTGAGACAAACAGTAAATAAACTAGTAAAATAAATAGTTTCAGATGTAGTAAATTATACAAATTAAAACAGAGAGATGTGACACTGTCTTGGGGGAACAGTATGAGTTTATTATGCTTTATATGAGTTATTCATTGAAAAGTTATTTGAACCGAATGTTGAGTGAGATGAAGGAGCTAATAAGCACACAGGAGTTGGAAGGAAAGCATTCTAGGCAGACAGTATATCTGCAAGGTCTCAAGGCATGACCAAATTTGGTGTATTCTGGAAATGAAACTAAGGCCAGTGTGATTGGAGCATCACAAGTGGGAAGGACTTATACAAGGTGAGGTGACAAAGAGGACTTCACAATGGCCACTTTTATCTGTTTCTCTAAGTGAAGTTGGGCCTTCTCACTCCCTCTTCCCTGAAAACTGACCAAAAAATAATTGTGTAGATTAAGAGCTAAATTCTTGCCCTTAACTTCTAATCCTGGTAGTACAAAAGCAAAGAAACTGGGTAAACTTAGCATTTTATAGTCCTGAAAGAATAGGGTTTTTTTTCAAAGATTTATTTATTTATTTTAGAAAGAAAGAATGCAAGTAGGGAAAAGAGCAGAGGGAGAGAGAGAAACCTCAGCAGACTCCCCTCTGAGCACAGAGCCAATAAGAGCCCAGTCCCAGGACCCCAAGATCATGACCTGAGCCAAAATCAAGATTGGCTGCTTAACCAACTGAGCCACCTAGGCATCCCGAAATAGTGTTTATGTATTTGCCTATCTGGGGCTACCTGTTTCATTCATATTATTTTTTTCTTTTGACAAAATTATAAGAAAGATAATATGGAAAAATAATCTTTATTCTGCAAAAGACTAAAAGGGAAAAACCAGCCCTGCTGCATAATAATAATAATAATATAAAATTAGAGTTATATAACCATTTAGTTCTGATGTAGAAGTGGAAGAGAATAGAGTCTGAAATTCAAAACATAGACAGAATTTAGTTTATGATAAAGGAGAAGTTTCAAACAGTGAGGAAAATTGATTAACTATCCAAAAAGTGGTATTATGACAAGTGGCAGGAATTTGAACGCATGGGGGAAGCTATAATTCCACCTCATATCTTATACCCAAATAAATCCCAGATGGATCATAGACTTAAATAGAAGGAGTGAAACTATAAAAGTCCCAGAAGAAAACATGGGTAAATTTTGCAGAACACTGGAACGTAAGGAGGCCTTTTGTAAGTAGACAACAAAACCTAGAAGACAGAAATGAAAAACAATTGAGGATAAAATAATCCCATGTTTCTTAGTTTATACGTTTTTTAAACACTTGGTTAGAAAATTCACACAGAAAAAAAAATTCACATAGTGTAAAAAAGAATAAAATGAAAAATGAAAGGGCACCGTCAACTTCAAAATAGTTTCTAATATATTGCTTCCCGATAGTAGATTTATACTTAAATCAACTTGTATGTTTATTATTTAAAAATGCATATAGAAGGGATTCTGCTATCTAATAACTATTTGAAACTTGCTTTATTTATTTCAGTAATAGATCTCAGAATTCTTTATACATATTACATATAGATGTATATCATTATTTATAATCTCTGCATCATATTTAATTTATGGGTGGGCCATAATCTAATGTAATCAGTGCCCTATTGATGAACATTTGGGTTGTTTTTGTTTGGTTTTTATTGTTGTTTTTATTTGGGTTGTTTTTAAAGCTTTATGTTTTATCAGCTGATAATGAAGTACTTGAAAATTCATGACTGTTAAACTTAATAGATCATACCTTTATTCAGAATGGACTACTGCTATCTCATTGAGTGTTTTTTGCTTTGAAATCTATTTTGTTTGTTAGCAATGTTGCTGCATTTGCCTTTTCAGTATGCTTAGTATTTTTTTTCAAACTTTCTGTGACCTTTAATTTTGATACAACTCTTATAGACCAGTAGATTTCATGGTTTTGTTCAATCTTATATTCATTTATTACCATTTTTGATGTTAATCTTAGATCTATTACATATTTTCTCATCATCATGCTTTCTGAATTCCTTTCATGCTGTTTGTTGGATTTCTCAGCTAACAAGTTTTCCCACCTCATTTTTATCTCCCCTTAGTGATTTCAGGTTGAATGTCTTTTTCTGATGATTATCCTTAAGCATCATTTGGACTAGCCTCTGCGGTTAATAGGTATCTTTGTCCTCCTGGAGAAGACCGGCACCTTAGGACTCTACCCAGCCTTTTTCCCTTCAACTATATGTCCCATGATGAGATGACATGGGATTTTAACTTTAGTTTCAGACTGTTCTTGATATATATTTACATTATTCATGAGCAGTTAATAAGTTAGTATAGTCTCTGCCCATCACTGTTTCTTGTAGTCTACGTTATCACTTTTCTTGAATTTGTTTTTGCTGGAGTATATATATCCTTAAATTCTTTTCAGAGAAGGTATATTATATAGGTTGTACTTTAGCCCTTAAATGTCTGAAAATGATTTTAATTTGCCTTCCTTTTGGAATGCTAGTTTGGTGAGGTATATAATTCTAAATTCAAAATCATTTTCTCTCAGAACTCTTAGGATACTGGTTCACTGTGTTCTGGCATCTGATGTTTACCAGTGAGAAATCTGATGCCAGTCTGATTCTAGTTCCTTTTGAGATAATCTGTTTTAGTTTTCTCTCTTCATTCTTGAATAATATTGTAAAGTTGCCTCACAATATGTCAAACCTGAGTCTTTTTCCAGTCATCCTATTTCGTACTCAGTAGGTTCTTTTAAGAACTTGTAATTCTCTTCAGTTCTGGGAAATCGTCTTCTCTTTCTCCTTCTCCTTTTTCTTTTTAATTTACTTTCCTTCATTTTTCTCTGTTCTCTCCTAGAATACCAATTATACAGGCTGAGTCAGGAATGTTTTTGGCTTTAAGTAACAGGAAACTCTATTAACAGTGTTTAAATAAATACATGATAATTTCTGTGAAGTGAAGGTCAGCATGTGGGTGCTGTTTGTGTGTATTTGTATGGCAGAGAAAGCACATTTTAAAGACTTCTTTTCTTCCCAACCTTCCTTCCCCTCCCATTCCTTGCCTCTTTTAAATGGTTACAGTGGTCAGCAAACTGAATCTGCCAGTCAAGTTCAGGAAGTTGCTGTGACATCTTCAGCAGGTGTTGAGGTCACAAATGAGAAGCAGGGCAAGAAGAAGAACAAAACTGCAGTGAATGTTGTGCTGAAGCCAAATCCTTTGGACCAAACTTGTATTCACCCGGAATCGTATGACATAGCGATGAGGTAAGTCTGAGGCCCATGTGAGAATTCTTCATGCCCCAAGTGAGTTCCTAGAGCAAATGGCCTTTGTTTTGGCACAATGGAGACTTTAAAAACATGACCATGTTTAACATGACAACATTTTTCAGAAGTTCCGCATTGCTGAGTTATGTGGCACATTATATTATTTCAGTGAGGAATGAAACCATTATTCCTGGAGCAGTGTCAAGCTAATAAACCCTGGTACTAATGGTGAAGTGTGTGTAATGGAAATTGCATGGCACTCTCCTCTGTTTGTTTTGGAAATTAACAAGACACAAATGACTAGCACCTGGCCTAAAGCTTGTGCTTATCTAAAGATAAAGCCTTTTTGAAAGTAAATGGCCAACTCTCAAATTTCTTAAGAAATATTGCCCTGCTAAGTTATTAAGAGTCTAAGAAATGGTGTCTTTTAATGAGCATACATTACACAGAATGATATGGGGGAGGTTTTTGAGTAGAAGGAAAAGTTTAATGTTAAGGCATTAAAAGACAAGGAAATTTAATAATACATTTAATTAGTTAAAAATCACTAAATATTTTAAGACTTTTAGTGATTTAAATAAAAGCAGGTTTAAAAATAGTGAATATTTTAACTTTCACTGAATCAAAAGTGAGATTTTTTTAGCTTGTTTTGAAAAAAATTTCTTTTTGATTTTAATAAATGTAATTTGTTTCCATTTATTTAACTTATTTATTTTTTAGAAAGAGGGGGGGAGGGGGCAGAGGGAAAGCAAAAGAGAGAATCTTTTTTTTTTTGTATATTTTTTTTACTGGAGTTCAATTTGCCAACATATAGTATAACACCCATTGCTCATCTCATCAAGTACCCCCCTCAGTGCCTGTCACCCAGTCACCCCATCCCCCACCCACCTCCCCTTCCACTACCCCGTTGTTCATTTACCAGATTTAGGAGTCAAGAGAGAGAATCTGGTACAAAGTTCAACTTGGGCCTTGATTTCATGACCCTGAGATCTTGACCTAAGCCGAAACTAAGAGTTGGACACTTAACTGACTGAGCCACCCAGGTGTCCCTTGTTTCCTTTCTTTTAAAAGTGTTTAAAATTATAGACTATAGCACATCATAGAGAACTTAGGAAATAGAAAAAAAAAAAAGGAAAAAAAACAGAACTTAGGAAATATTAAAAAAATAATATGTAATACTCTGTCAACATCAAAACAATGGTGCCTATTTTTCCCCCAGCATTTTGTTATGGAAAAATTTAAACATACAGAAAAATTAGGAAAAAACATGTTTACAATGAATTCCTAGGTACCCACACCTAGATTTTATCGTTAACATTTTACTATGCCTGTTTTTCTATTTATCTATTCATCTCTTCATCAGTCCATCTCATTTTATGCATTTCAAAGAAAACTGCAGACGTCAGTGCACTTTCAACTAGTACTTCAGTATGCATATCATTAACTGGAATTCTGTAATTCTTAACAGTATTTTTTTCTCCAGGTAAAATTCACATACAATTAAATTTTAAGTACATATGAGGTGAATTTGGGCAAATAAATATTTTCACAAATATAATACTAATTATATTAGTATAATCCAAACCCCTCTCATGATAAAAAAAAAACAACCTTGCTGTTATCCTAAAACCTTCCCTTATGCCCCATCCTAGATAATCCCTACCCTAACCTCCTAGACCTAACCACATATTCTAATTTTTTCTACCAAAGATTTGTTTGCCTCTTCTAGGACTTGATATAAATGATACCATACAGTTGTAATCTTATGTAAGGCTTCTTTCAGCATAAAGTTTAGAGATTTTTTATCTGTGTTATAACAAGTAAATAGCTTGCTTCTTTTTATTGCTAATATTTCATTGTATGAATGAATAGGCCACAGTTTTTCTCCTTATCGAAGTACCTTTATGCTATTTCCAATTTTTGGCTTTTATGAGTAAAACTGCTATGAACATTCTTATACATTTTTTGTTTTTGTTATTGTTGACATTTGCTTTCATTTTTCTTGGAAAAATACTTAGGAGAGAATTTGTTGGGTCATAAAGGTAGGTGAATTTTTTCTTAGAAACTTTCAGACTTCACTCCAATATAGTTGTACCATTTTATACTTTCATCAACTATACATGAGTTCTGTTACTGGACATCTTCACCATAATTTGATGTTAGTCTTTTTAATTTTAGCCATTCTTGTGTGTTGTGTGTTTGTGATAGTATCTCTTTGTAGCTTTAATTTGCATTTCTCTGGCAACACTGAGCACTTTCTCATGGGCTTATTGGCCATTGGCATACCTTCTTTTGTGAACTCTGTTCATATCATTTAGCCATTTTCTAACCTTTCTTAAAGATTTTATTTATTTGAAAAAGAGCATGAGTGAGAGGAAGGGCAGAGGGAGAGGGAGAAGCAGACTCCCCACTGAGCAGGGAGCTGCAGGAGGCTTGAAGGCAGATGCTTAACCTTAACCGACTGAGCCACCGAGGCTCACAGCCATTTTCTAATTGAGTTGTTTATCTTTATATTATTGGAATGTGGGCATTTTAAAAATTTTTTTCTGGAAACTAGTGTTTTGTCCGTATATGTTTCACAAATGTTTTGTTCCGGGTTGTTGTTTACTTCTTTATTTTCTTATTGGTGTCTTGATGAGCAGAGGTTTTGAATTTTGGTGATGTCTACTTCATCAGTATTTTCCTCTTACAGTTATTACTTTCCCTGTCCTAAGAAACTTTTGCCTTGCCTCAAATCATGAATATATGTCTGTGTTTACTTCCAAAAGCTTGATAGTATATCAGCTTTTACATTTAGCTTGATGATACATCTGAGGTTACATTTCATGTGTGATTTGAAGTAGGGATCAAAGTTTATTTATTTATTTATTTACTTACTTATTTATTTATTTTACACATTATGAACATTTACTTATTCTGGCCCTTGTATACATTTTTTAAATGAGCTTATCAGTTTCATTAAAAAGCAAAAAACCGGGCAGCCCTGGTGACTTTGTGGTTTAGCTCACCTTCGGCCTGGAGTGTGATCCTGGAGAACTGGGATCGAGTCCCACGTCAGGCTCCCTGCATGGAGCCTGCTTCTCCCTCGTGCCACCCCCCCGTGTCTCTATTAAATAAATAAAATCTTAAAAAAAAAAAAAGGCAAAAAACCTGGTGGAGTTAGGATTGGAATTACATTGAGTCTGTAAGGGATTATAGGAACAGTGGATGTCTTCATAATAATCTCTTAAGTCTTTTGACCATGAACTTAACATCTTTTCACTTATTTTGGTCCTTCATTTCTTTCAGACATGTTTTAAAATTTTCACTGTGCAGGGCTTGCATGTTTCTTATTAAATTTACTTTATATTTTTCAACACTATTATAAATGGAATTTTAAAAATTTGTTGCTAATATGTAAAAATACAATTGATTTTTGCATAGTAACCTTGTATCCTGCAGCCCTGCTATAAGTTCACTTACTAGTTCTAGTAGGTATTTATAGATGTGTTTATAGATTCTTTAAGTTTTCCTGTATAAACAATTATGTTATCAGCAAATAAATGAAAACTTTACTTCTTTTTTAATATTAATGCACTTTATTTCTTTTTCTTGCCCATTGCAATGTCTAGGATCTTTAGTACTGCATTGAATAGTGGTGAAAATAGGCATCCTTGTCCTGTTCTGAGTCTTAACACATGATTCTCATTTTTTTTTTAATATAAAGAAATTATGATCAGTTGCCTGGGTGGCTCAGTCAGTTAAGCATCTGCCTTTGGCTCAGGTCATGATCCAAAGGTCCCGGGATGAGCCCTGTGTCAGGCTCTCTGCTCTGTGGGCAGTCTGCTTCTCCCTCTCCCTCTGCCTGCTGCTCCACCTGCTTGTGCTCTCTCATCAAATAAATAAAATCTTTAAAAATACATATATATAAAGTTAAAAAATTATGGTCTCATAGTAATAATACTTTTAGTGTTTGTTGTTTGAGAAGATGTATATGTACTATACATGATTTTATACACTTCTTGCAAAAACTGACACCTCCTTGGGTACTAAAATAGCATTTTGTTGCATGCAAATCAATGTCTTTTTAAATGTATATTGTATGTTTTTATACTATAGTTCATAAATTTTTCAACTTGTTCTCTCATATAAGCATAAGTTTTTTTATTTCTGCATATCTCTCTTTTTAAAAAGCTGACTGACATCCCATCACATGATTGGACTGTAATTTATTAATAGCAGTACTAGTAGTGGTTCCTTATAATGGATTCCTAGAAATGGAATTACTCTGCCAAAGGGTTTGAGACTTTATGTGGCTCTTGATATACATTGCCAAGTAACATACTAATTTATGATGCCACCAGCAGTGTTGAAGCTTGAGAGATCTTGAATTTCTCTTGTTAAGCAGGACTTTTCTGCCAATTTTTACATGGGCCACCTTTTGCATGTAGAACATAAAAGCCTGACCAGAAACTTCACCTTTCTCTCTATGCTTCCTTTGGGAGCAGGCTTGTCTCTCAGAAGGAGGGTTCTTGTAGACTATTTCATGGGAAATTTTGTCTATATGAAGTTAAACTCTTGACCTTTAAAATCTGGCAACAGAACTAGTAATTTATCTAATTAAGTTTATATCCCCATTATCCACCTTGGAGCTATAATAATTATTTCTGGCTCTTAAGCATACTTATAGTATGATGTATAGTAGATGTATAGACATCATAGGCATCACTCAACATAGGTAGTTCATACTTTCATATAGTATTATACAAGTGTCTTCCCAGGGAAGGAAAGCTCATTGAGGTTATGATTAAGTTATTATTGGTTTGACCTCAGTTGTGTAAAAGTAAATTCCATTGCAGTAAAGTTCATTTTTAATTACATCAGAAAACCAGTAGGAATGTAATGGCTTTCATGCTCCCCTACCGTAATGTTACTCCCCAAAATACACCAAGATGTGAAGCTATTAAGCCTTTTTATTTTTATATTTGTGTTATTCTCCCTCACATAACACTTTAGAGAAT